AGTCTTCAAAATTACAAAAGACTTTGTATTTATTGTTGTTCTGTATCAAAATCTATCTTGCTGTCATATATCTATGTTATCTGCATCTTTCTAGCTCTGTTCATATCTACATATATATTTCTGTCTGTGAATATGTTTGTCTATTTTTTAAGTATGCTTATATCTATCTTCATATCTATCTCTTTATGCTCATATCTATCTTTATATATATATATATATATATATATATATGTATGTGTGTGTGTGTGTGTGTGTGTGTTTGTTTGACAATTGCAAAACTGCTGAAACCCAAGGCACAAACTCACATCAATCCAAATATATATATATATATATATATATATATATATATCACTTTATCCTCATATCTATCTTCATTTTATATATATATATACACCACTTTATGCTCATATCTATCTTCATATATATATATATATATATATATATATATCACTTTATCCTCATATCTATCTTCATTTATATATATATATATACATATATATCTTATATATATATATATATATATATATATATATATATATCACTTTATCCTCATATCTATCTTCATTTATATATATATATATACACCACTTTATGCTCATATCTATCTTCATATATATATATATATATATATATATATATATATATATATCTTTATCCTCATATCTATCTTCATTTTATATATATATATATATATATCATATCTATCTTCATATATATATATATATATATATATATATATATATCACTTTATCCTATATCTATCTTCATTTATATATATATATATACACCACTTTATGCTCATATCTATCTTCATATATATATATATATATATATACTCACTTTATATATATCATATATATATATATATATATATATATATATATATATATATATATATATATATATATATCACTTTATCCTCATATCTATCTTCATTTTTATATATATATATATATACACCACTTTATGCTCATATCTATCTTCATATATATATATATATATATATATATATATATACTTTATCCTCATATCTATCTTCATTTATATATATATATATATATATATATATATATATATATATACCATTTTATTTCATACCTTCATATATATATATATATATATCTCACTTTATCATATATATATATATATATACTTTATGCTCATATCTATCTTCATATATATATATCACTTTATGCTCATATATATATCACTTTATGCTCATATATATATATATATATATATATATATATATATATATATATATATATATATATATATATATATATTTATATATATATCTTAGGCTCATATCTATCTATCTTCATATATATCATCATCCATAGACAGACTGTTTACTGTTTCACAGCTCATCAGTGTGGCTAGACATCTGATCACTTCAAGCCGGGATTGAAACCCAACTAATTTGGTATCAGTTGGAGATTTTAATCCCTAGGTTATTGACACCTGACAGATATATATCTCTTTATGCACATATCTATCTTTCTTCATATATATATATATATATATATATATGAAGAAAGAAGATATGATATGCATAAAGAGATATATATATATATATATATATATATATATATATATATATATATATACATCTTTATTCCTTTATCTATCTTCATATCTATTTCTTTAGGCTCATAACTATCTTCATATATATCTGATATCTACTTGCTGCCTGACGCAGACAGGATTCAACACAAGGTCAGTTTAATGTGACGAGCCCAATTGTGTGAACCTTGGCCAGATCCAAAAACAGCCTATCCCTCACAACTGTTGTATTACTACCAATACCCACTCTCTAGGACAATGAGGGAGGTACTGCCACAGGTAGCTGTTCCCCAGGACTGGGTACCTCTCAATTTTTGGGGTTGTGCTTTGTCTGAAGACAAAGACACAACTGAGAGATGATAAATGAGTTTGACTCAAAAGACTTGTGTATTTTCATATCTATCTCTCTATGCTCATATCTAAGTCTATAACTCACTAAGTTCATATCTATGTTCAATTGTGTTTCTATGTGTGTCTATCGGTTGCTGAGATGGCAGCCATTTTGATTCAGAAATATTAGTAGATGCTTAAACGCCATCAAAGCCATTATTCCAACTATTTAAAGTTCCCCATTCTCTCGCTTCTTTGAACACAGCAAATTTGTGTGCTTTGGCAAAAATTGACAATAATTATTATGTATATAAAGAAAAAAAATCTATTTTGAAAGAATAAAAGATGACAAGGTGAAAGAAGATTGGAGAAATGAGGACGAGACAGTGAGAATGGAAAAGTATTAAGTGGGTGGTGGGGAATAAACTGTTGAAGGAAGTGAGAGAGTGAAACTGATGTTGAGTGAGGAGAGGGAAAAGAGTGCAGAGAAGAGAGTGAGAGAGTGTGTAGAGATAGAAAAAAAAAGGAAGAAAGCTAGACTAGAAATTGAAGGAAGAAGAGGTTGAAAGATAAATATACATCGATCTCTATGTATGTGAGAGAAAGAAAAGGGGAGGAAGATAAAAGAGTAAAAAAAGAAAGGGATAAAAAGCTAAAAAAGAGTATGCCTGCATCTATGCATGAGAAAGACAGACAAAAAGAAAAGGAGGAAAGAGGAAGAGAAAGCAAGAAAGCTGAAGATAAAAGAGGCAATAATGGTGAAAGGAAAGATGTAGAGAGTATACTTACCTGTGTGTGTATGTGTATGAGAAAAAAATGGTGAAAGAGGAAAAGAGATAAATAAAAAGGAAAGAGAAGACAAGAAAACTAAATGGGAGTGATAAATAAAAGTGAAAGAAAGGATGTAGAGATTATAATCTGTGTTTAAGAAAGAGAGAGAGGGAGAGAAGGAAAAAGGAAAGAGAAGGCAAGAGAGCTAAAAGGGAGTGGAAATTAATGGTGAAAGAAAAGATGTGGAGATTTTACTTATGTGTGTGAGAAACAGAGATGGAGAAAAAGAAAAAAAGAGAAAGAGGATGAGAAAAAAAGAGATAGGAAAGGAAGGTAAGAAAGCTAAAGATAAAAAGAGAGTAGAAACTAAAGGCAGAAGAAATAATGTGGAGTGTGTGTGTCTATGAAAATGTGAGTAGAAGATAAAGTGAGTGTAACAATAAAAGCCAGAAAAGCTTTTTTTAAGAAAAGAAAAATGTCAGGTAACTTGAGTGTGCCCATATCTTTGCTTCTGTCTGAGAGAACATACATTAGAGAAAGAAAGAGCGAGAGAAAGAGAGAGAACTGTAAAAGCAAACTCGAGCAAAGTGATAATATAACTTAAGAGGTTTTTGAGTAAAGTTATCTTGTATAGATTTTGTGTGCAAGAGGCACCATGCCTGTTTGTATGGAGAGGGTGAAGGAGGTCTCTGTTGCCGGATAAAGGAAGTTGATCAATTGCAAGGAAGGCAGTACTTGGTCAAATATGAATCACCACTTACAAGACAAGAAAAGGGAAGAGAAAAATGTAAATTCAACTGTAACAAAATCACCTACAAGGAGGTTTTGTTGGGGTAATATCATCACTTGCAATTTCCCTTTAACAAGTCAGTTGCCGCTGTTGCCATCACCACCACCACTGCTGAGCCGCCTCCACCATTACTGCTGCAGTTGCTGCTGTTATCAGAGATGCTCCATTCACCTCTTCCCCTTTTGAATCAAGATGTTAACAATAAAAAGGAAGAAAAGCATACACAGATATGCAATCATCCTTACATAAATACAGATTTATTGAATTGCAGACAGTTTAATGGTAGAGCAATAGTCCTGTCAGCAGGAAGAATCACTAGGCGAAATGTTACCAAACTATATTTGGTACCGTTGGAACCATAAAGAATTTTATTTTTTCAGATTCACAAACAATTCTTGTGGAAAAAGTCTATTGGCAATAATTTACAGAACGGATTTTCCCCTGTCTTTCAAATTTGAACTTACACATCAGAAAGAATTTACTGATTTTGACTTATGGTCAAAGCACAATGAAAACACAAGTTCATATTCAATCACCAAAGTTAAGCAATGTTGACCTTGGTCAGTACTTTGATGGGGGATGACCCAATACTGTAAGCAGCCTCCTGAAATCTGTTTTGGTTTAAATAACTCATAAAGGGTTGATAAGCTGTAAAAACAAATCAATCAACCGAATCTGTAACAATTTCCCAATGTAAAAAGAAAAAATTGTTTTTTTTATAGTTTTCCTTAATTTAAAACTATTTAAATAAAAATTTACTAAGTTTGGTCCTGAAGGATGGCAAAAAATCTGACATCAGTTTAAAATATATTATGAAAATGACAATTTATCAAGAATTCTACAAAAATAAAAATTTAGTCCTTACTTTTTTTTCATCCTTTTTTTAAAATCAAATTTCATACTTTTGTTTGTATTCAAAGTCTTCCCAGAGTAAAAAAAAAATAAAATGCATATATCCGGAAGGATATAAATTCCTTTCATGTCATTCTTATTGATTATAAAAAAAAAAATGAAAATAATTGATTAAATATGATTTCTTGTTCTTCAGTGACTGATAAGAAGTATAAATTATTTTGAATAGTAAATGCTGAACAATTATCCTTAATAAAGTAAAGACTTACATACAATTACTCATTCCTGAGACAGACTTGGAGATAAAGCCACATTTTTCAATTTTTGAAGGTTTTTTTCCCATAACTCAGTGAAAAAATAATAGAAAGAAATCTATTTTCTGCAAGAGATTTTCAATAAGGCAAATGTGAGAAAGATTGATTGATTGATTTGTTTTTTATAGCTTATCAACCTTTTGCTGGTTATTTAAAGCAGAAAATATGTTTAGATTATAAGAATTGGAGTGGGGAGATAATAAAGATTTGGTGAGAGGTCCTACTAATTAACCCATAGCTGGGGGAGTAGAGGTGCATTCATATTTTTTCCAAGTGTATTTTGCATAAGTGAATATAACAAACCAAACTGGAATTGGAACTCAGCTCTCTGATTGCCAATTCTGAGCTGTTATCCATTACACTACTTCACATCTAAGCTTACTGCACCTGGTATTCCCAAACAGCCACCCATCTAAGTACTGACTAGGCTCAATGTTGCTTAACTTTGGTGATTAGATGAGAATAATGTTTCAATGTGATATGGCCATATGCTCCATGTAAGAAGGAAAAAAATGAGCTTGCTTGTGGTTAAAGGTGTTGCACATGCTAAAGTAAATAAATTATGTGAAGCAATTCTTTTTTTCAGACTGACAAGGGTTCTCTAGGCAGCTAACACAAAATAGCAATTTACTAAGAGTAACTTAGATGTGATACAAGGCAAAAAGTAAGGAACACCACCCAGTGAGGATCAGACCCACTACTCATTCATAATTGATATCCTGAGACAATATTGATAACCATTACACCCGACAGAAGAGGCCAGCTAACATAGAATACTCCTGAAGAGAAACATCAAAGAGCTTATATTGAGCTCCATGGTTGAGTTAATTTTAATTGACAGGTGTAACAATAGGGCAGTTTATTATTGGAACAATGGTATTGCACTCAATTTGAATATTGGGGGTTTGACATGATAAATGAAGACACAAAATATTTTTTTCCCAAACCATTACTGTTTTTTGAGGAAACAAGTTTAAAAGATTAAATTTAGGTTCAAAATTGTTGTGTTGGAATTGTATTCCACTAATCAGTGAAAGCCTTATAGCACGACCTTATATAATTTACTGAAACATTACAAATTATATATTGACAAGATGCATGGCACAAGCACATTATTACTAAATCATTGTGCTATCAAATATGACCTTCATTTACTTCAAAGGGAAATTATACTGAACAATTTAGCTATATTATGATGTAATATGTTATACAGTGCAGTAGTTTTAGTGTGATTTTCAATAAATAATGCATATTTAAAACATTTTGTTTTATAATTTGTGCCCAATAGTATTATTGTTATATACACTTTCATCTATTTTTTGTTTTTATTAATTATGATCTATCAAATAACCTAACAAATTTTATTCATTGAGTAGAATTTTTTTGTAATCTTTTACAATTTTTTACAGAGTTTTTACTTATTGAATACAGTAAAAAAAAATGCATATTTTGCTTGTGGTGATTTACAATTAGAATTCTTGTTTGAATATATTTTCCATTCAAAGTTTCTAATACAAAATATATTAACTTTATTTGGATTTATTTTTGAAATAGTAAAATTATGAAGTTCGTTTGTAAACAAAAATCTGCAGAAATTAGGTATTTCTGTACATTTTTTTCAGGCGATCTTTAAAACTAAATGCTCAAAAATTGGTAAGAGCTATAAATCTAACTTTTGGTGTCAGTACTTATCACATTAAACCCCAATTTTCACAGGGAGTGCAATATTGATTTTCTAAGAAATGTGAAAAAAAGTCAACCTGCCCTAGTGTGACAAGCTTCTAATTCGAATCTATTGAGTTGGCAGTGAGAACAACCAATATCAGCACAAATTGGTTAACCTTCTTTGATACAGTGTTGGTATGTAAGTATGACAGCATATCAGTGGTCATGTTTGAGTTCATGTAAATAAAAGGATTTTGAATGATGATTTTCAAATCAGGCAAGTGTCTCCTTCTGGAAGATAGGTGTAACACAATCTTCTTACCTTCCACAATTTGTCCCCCACTTTGCCCTTGTATAAAAAAAACTTAGTACATTGGAACCTTGGTTATCAAGCACCTCTTATCATACGATTCAGTTATCATTTACTTTTTTTCGGCAAAAATATGTCTTGGAAATTGTACATCTCCTTGGTTATTTCTGAGATGAGATATTATGTACATTATTTACATTATTCGGGCTATTGTCCTCATCTTTGTCGCCATGTTTATCACAACATTTACATGGTTGTACACTCTGGCTTTCTTCAGAAATTCATACACAGATGTCTCCAAGGACACATGGCACAGTGGATAAAGGCATTAGTCCAGTGACAGGACCCAAAGAGTGTGAGTTCAATACTTGGTTAAGGCAGTGGAGAACTTTCAGAGGGAAATTAACAAGATAACTGACATCCATTAGACATGGCACATGGAACTAGAACAGTTTACCCCAGTGAGTGAAATAAAGGATTCAGTTTGACATTCCAACCATCTGAAGAAGGCCGGAGCATACAACGGCTGAAACGTTGTGATAAATATGGCGACAAAGATGAGGACAATAGCACGAATAATGTAAATAGTGTACATAATACCACCCTTGAAGATGAAGATCGAATGGTAATAATGAGATTAGCCATTTCCTTATAAGGAAACATTTGGCATTCATTGACTGAAAACTTAAGTATTATTGCCGGTTGAAATTTATAAAATCTTTCTTTTAAAACAATTTTTCAGGAAAATAGGATTGTCAAGTCCACTATTATCCATCTTTCCAGTATTGATGGGAGTTTCCTTCCTAAACTTTTGTCTGAAGTAGTGTGGAATATCAGCATCTTTATTATATCATTATTTTCTCTTTGAGTTATATGTTGTTGCTGCTGTTGGAAGTCTTCAAGTGATATGGTTTCTGTTATTTGGTAAAGCTTTTTTGTTTGGTGATTTCATAGTGTCAGTCCACAAACTCCAATAAAGAATGGTCCTTTCTAAAACCTATAAGCATCAATCAACCAAAGCCATTTTTAATAATTCTTCTGAGAAAATAGTTGACAGTTTAGCATTTTTGAACAAGTTGGATGCCATGTATGAGATATGAACAGCCATATATCTCTCGATCTGATGAGACTATTTAAGAACATGACTTGAGTTCTGAGGTTAATGTTTTTGATCAGTATTGCTCAGTTGTTGCTTGTTCTGTTTCCACTGTGACTGAGTTTATAATACTCAGTCTAGGGATTGAACTCAGATTTTTGTTGCAACCATATTCATGCATCTCTAGGCTATGGAAGGAAAAAAATAATTGAGTTGCCCCATTAATTTTAACCTGAAAATTCAAACAAATGAATGTATCATTCAACTACAAGCATACACTGAAGATATTGTTGGTTTGGTTCCAGACCAACCGCTGTCATAGAGCAAGTCGCACAAATTTTATTTCTCAGTGCATATAAAAGTCATGTTTAAACTGTAGTTTATGAAGTGTGCAATAGTGTTAGACATAAAAAGAAATCAAGATACATTAATTAAAAAATACTTTCTTGCGATGAAAATGTGTTACAGAAAGTGAACAAATGAAGAGGTAAAACGACACCAAATAAACTTGCTTCATACAGGGTTGCAAAAAAGCTTCAATTTGTAAAAGAGTGCAATATGTTTTCATCATTTTACAGTCAAAATGGCTAGATGTGAACGTAAGTTCTATGCTAATAGTTTCTTCTGTTACACTTCTCATTTGTGGAACTCCAGCTTCTTGTTTCCCTGTCAATTTTAATCTTCAAAAATTTAAATGCAATGTTAATCATTATCTTGTCTTCTTAATTCCTGTTATTTTATTCTTCTCTATTCTTAACAGGTTTTATTTTACATCTGTCACTTCTTGCGTCTCAGTGGCTTTATTGCTTTGCTTGCAGTGAAATTAATTAAAAAGCAAAACAAAACAAGGTATGTCTGTATTTTTAGAAGAATTACAGACTCTCTTTTACTTCACTGGATTGTTATGCAAGATGTGAAAAGGTACTTAATGACAAACTTCAAAAAATTAGTTGTTATTCGATGTCAAACAAACCCCAGAACCAAAATCAGAACTTCATCCCAAAAAAGATTCTTTGATGAAGATGATAGAATAGGACAGCTATTTTTGTTCTTTATCAGTTACTTAATCTGGAAGATGCCATCATTATAGATTTTTCTTGTCAACACTTCGAACATGTCAATGGTGCATTACACTAAGAATGTACAGCTTTGTTGAAAAGAAAGGGTATCATATCTGTCTATATTTGTCTCCAAGGACACATGGCTCAGTGGGTAAAAGCTTCAATTGAAGTAATTCAGTGACTTCAACCAAAGAGTTGTGAATTCAATACATGGCCACAGCAGATGTGAACAAAAAAAAACTTGGAGAGTTGAGTTACTAAAGGGAAATAACTGGAACTGAGATATCCAGAAAAGGCATGGCATGTGGAACTAAAAGGGTTCAGTTTGAAATTTCAACATATATCACATGAAGAAGGCCTGAGCATACAATGGTTGAAATGTGAATATGACAATAAAGATGATGACAATAGTCCGAACAATGTAAATAGTGTAAATAGTGTAAAAAGGGTATCATATTTTAGCATGACAATAAAAGTCTTCATAAATTCAACAGACCTAACCTTCTTCACTATTTGTTTTTTGATCATTTATTTTACTGCCAGGACATTCAGAAATAAGAAATATAATACTTCAGAACTTTCAGTTTTCTTTTAACTCTTAAATGGTTGGTAACATCAATTGATGATTCATTGGAGATCAACAGATTTCATCATTGGATGATTTAAAATTTTTCCTTCCAGTAATACAGGCATCATTCATTCATGATTCAAGTTTAAATGACTAACTGGCAAGTCTAGGATTCATGACCTTACATCATTTCCTGGAGTATTTGCCTGCAAATAAAGTTAGAAGCCAAAAACAGTGCTGCTGTGTTTGCATCTATATTTCTTGAAGAGAAAAGAGGCAAAAATGGCAACAACTTGTTATAAAGAATATGCAACTCCATTAGGCATACAATACTACTCAATGCTACTAATAATGCTATTACACAATGCTATTACACAATGTTACTAACAGTATGATACTCCTTGAGTATCATACTGTTCAAAATATTCAATTTAGGAATCTAAAATTCATTTTATCACCTTTCTTTATTTATATAATCTAAAATAGGAAATATCTTATTTTTGTAGTTTTTGTATATAATTAAAGCAAAAATAAGTGTAAAAATTGTCCCCTTTAAGAAATTAATTTTCTCGTTTTTTTCACCTGTCTGGCTTATACTTTTATGCAACCTTTTCCTACTGTTTAAAGATTAATCATAAAACTTCAGAACTGTATCGACAGAAAGCAGAAAGAAACTGGCTTTACATCTACCAGGGAGTGAACAAGAAGTGTCCCTCTCGATTTGATGTTTGGTCATTTATCAGGTCATCCCATAAGTTCTGTCCAAATTTTGAATAAAGAAAACAATTG